TATATATATATATATATATATTTATATATATACATAGATATATATATTTATTTATTTATTTAACTAGTTAATTTATATACATACTTAAGCATTTATTTATGTATTCATTCATTTGCTTACATATATACATAAATATTATTTATTATATATCAATTATCTATTAATTTATTTGCTTAGATATATACATATATATATATATTTATTTATTTATTTATTTGTTTATTTGTTTATTGATTTACCTCGCTGAGTATGTGGGGTCTGTACTCTTCTAGAGTTGCGGTGTACAGGAAGCGCAACATAACCCGATAAGCCTGGGCCCCCCATCCATGAATAATAATTTCTTCTTGAGAGCTTTCTTTCATTTTACCTCTGAACATTTGTCTAAAGAAGAGACAGTTAGCAGCAAGTATGCATTTATGTGCATGCAGTCTCTCTCCTTCAACAACTAATACAACATCACTGCCTAAACCTGTCTCCAATAAGACTTTATAATTATGTACTAATTCATTTACAGCCCTTCTCTTGCATGCAAATTCTTCTCTTCTTCCTGCATGCAGCTCAACTAAATCGCAAAGCCATCGCCTACCATCAAAACCTCCAAACACAACAACACGATCGCCACATACTAAAGCAGCACTATGACGTTGCCTACCTACAGGGGGGCCCCCATAGGGGGCCCCTCCCCCACAAGGGGGGCCCCCAGGGGCCCCCTGTGGTGAGTCCCCCATAGAAGAGGGGCCCCCCATAGAGGAGGGGCCCCCATGAGGGGGGCCCCCTGAACCACTATAATGGGCTGGGGCCCCCAATAGGGGGCCCCCAGATGAGGGGCCCCCTGTAGGGGCCCCATAGTTAGAGGGGCCCCTACTACGAGAAGATCTGCTGTGGGGGGCCCTCGATGGGCTTGTTTGATGGGGGGCCCCCTGGGGGCCCCCTTCTAATGGTTGCTCCCAATGCATGCGACGTGTTGATAATATATAAATGTCATTAATTCGTCGGCGACCATCAAAACCACCAAATAAATACATCTTCAAACCGACAAATGTTGCAGTGTGGCCGCGCAGACCCGGAGGAGGGGGGCCCCCTAACTCAGGCTGAGAACAACAATAAAATAAAATAAAAAGAATAATATATAAAAAGATATAATAAAAAAAGAAAAAAATAAAGAGATATAATTAAGAAAAGAAAGCAAAAGAATAAACTGACATAATTTAAAAAGAAAAGAATAAAGAGATATAATAAATAAAAAAGAATGAAGAGATAATATACAACAAAGAATGATAAAAAAGAATAAAGAGACAAAATAAGAAAGACAAAAGAATAAAAAGATATAATTAATAAAATATAATATATAATATATATTATAAGACATAATAAAAAACAAACAATAAAGAGATAATATATAATAAAGAAAAAACAATGAAAGAAGATAGAATTCAGTGGGGCCTTCTAATATATCTAATGTTATATAATATTGATATAGCATTAATATAATATTAATATAACATTAATATAATATTAATATAACATTAATATAATATTAATATAACATTAATATAATATTTATATAACATTAATATAATATTAATATGATAATAAAATAATATTGTTATAATGCAATATAATATTATGTAATGTAATAGAATGTAAGTAAATATAGCATAATATAAAAGAATATAAAATAAGATAAAAATAAGTTAAAATATAATAAAATACTACAGCCTCAGCTGCCCACAGACAAAACAACAAAACAACTGACAACACGGGCTTAACAAATAAACAAAGAAAAACAAAAACAAACAAATAGAGCAGCAGCAGCAGCAACAGCAGCAGCAGCAGCAACAGCAGCAACAGCAGCAGCAGCAGCAACAGCAGCAACAGCAGCAGCAGCAACAGCAGCAGCAACAGCAGCAGCAGCAGCAACAGCAGCAACAAGAAGAAACACAAAGACAACAAATGCACAGACTCAGACAACGACATAAGAAAACCACCACAAGCCCAACTTCACCCTAAACCCTAAACCCTAAACC